TGCACCATATGTTTTATCTATTGTATATATTATTTGTCTAAATTAAAGGCCTTCCAAGGAACTTTCCTTTTGTGTTGATTCTGGCGGCCCCTGTGGACAAAAGTGGTAGTGTTTCCACCGCCTCGTTTCATTGATTTCAAGGGGAATCCTACCCAGTAGCAGGCATTATAAATAACTGCATAGAAATCACCAATATTCTTGCTGATGGTCTTGTTTGTTTATGTAGGTCATACAGAGGAAATCATATTAAATATTATTTTTTACAGCAGCCATTTTGACATGAAATAGTAGGGTAAACACAGGTGTTATGAATGATACTAATTAAGGGTCCATTCCATTTAGTGTAGCAGAGCCTTTCCAATGAGACAACATGTACGATAGCGGCACCCTGACTCTGTTTGACCTAAATGAACAGGAACCTTAATTACATAGTAATGTGAAAAAAAATAATTGTTGAAACAGATTACATTAAACATTTTAAGTAACACAAACTCAATTTTGTAGGTTAAAAAACATTTTTGATTAAGTACTTTTTACTAGGTATTTTGTTACGTGTAAGCTATGTGTTCAAGAATGTATTTTTTTGTAAAATTAACTTAACTGGTTTTACAGTGTAGTATCATTGGTAACACCTGTGTTTACCCTACTATTTGATGTCAACATGACTGTGAAAAGGGTCTATTGAGACTATTTCCTTACCAGTTAAAAACTCCTTAGGTTTAAATAAAATTAAAAAAAACTAACACTAAAAAGAACGCCATGCTTTACACACGGAGATTCGCTCTTGGAGCCCCATGTACGCCGCTTCTGTGGGGAAATCTAAATCTGGAAAAGCCTGATGTGCCTAGTTCTGGTTGCTAAACTGTGATTGGACAATTTCTGTCTGGGGGAGGGGTTTAGTGCAGAATCACTTAATGGGTCTCTAAATTACTGCAAGGGGGCATATCACATGATCTTTTTGTTTTGTTTTTTTTAATATGGTTTGGTACTAGAATAAAAAATAATTATGCAAACATTTTTAGAGGTTGACGTTCCTCTTGGCAGTCGGTTATTCCTTTGAGACACCGAAAATAACTTGTTTCTGCTGCTTTTCTGGCTTCTTCTTTCTACCATTCATTACTGAGAATTTCAAAACATGTCACTTCCCCAGGGCATATATACACTACACTATGTTTACCATAGTGCTCCAAGGCTTATTACTGTGTTAGTAATGATAGGGTTGCCTGGCCCTCACTGGATAAATTCATTAAGTGGCACGCTTACATTTACAAAGCTGCTCTTACTATTTCACCACAAATTTATGTAATTCAATCATCCAGTGAACTCACCTCGTAGTCCACCTCCAGCGAGTGTCCTTCTCCTTTGGTTTGGAAATGCTGTGTGTGGGAGTCCACTGTGAGGTTAACTTGCTTATTGAAGCGCTCGATGTGAACAGAGTGCCAGTGTTGGTCGTCCAGCAGACTGCCCACACTGACTGCAACGCGGCCGCTGCTGAACCTCAGCCTGCTGTCGTCTGGTGCCACACAAAGGAAACAGCATGAACATTGTGAGCTGCTTTATATCTTCCAGAGTGAATGTGTGAGGGCAGGAGGGCAGAGCTCAAAAACAAACACACATTATGTCCTGTCCTTTTCATTCAGATGTGTTGTAGAATGGTATGAAAGTAGTCTGTACTAACACACTAGATCTGTTAGTCTTTTGTATCAGGGGTCTCACACTCAATCTAGCTTGGGGGCCACTGCTGGTATTGTCATATCATTGGAGCCAGCAAATGAAAGGCAGAAACGTGCTCTCTTTTTATCTACTGTTTACACACATTTACAGGCACCTTCGACATTTGTCATAACTTTGCGGTGTTTTTACTTTAATTGTATATGAAGAGGTAGTTTAAATTGATATGAAACAGCTAGATAAAAATAACAATCTTATGGCGGAGACTGAGGGAGGGGGATGGAGAGCCCGGAAATGGCCCCGGGCCAGCAGTTTGAGATCCCTTTTCTATATAGTCAGTTCTACAGAACTAGCCATGGCCGGTATTTAATTTAGGTAAAGGGGTCCAGTAGTATGGAACAGCATTCGGCTTCACCTCGCAGTCACACCTCAATTCCGATTTCTAAAGAACACCTGAAACAACTTCCTTTGACTGAGTACAGTACTTTGTAAATTGTTTATTTTTCTACTTTGGTCTTTTTCTTCTTTTATTTATTTTATTTTTGGGGTGTTTTTATTATTTCACATACATAAAGAACATACAGAACAAAGAACATAAATGCCTATTTGGACAATGAATTGTTAAAACTGTTTAAATAGTTTAAATGTGTGACCATTTTCTTCTGATCTCTTTTTCTTATGGCTGCCTTTGGCTCAGGAGGCGACGGTTTGATACCGGGCTCCTCCTGCTGCATATCTTGAGCAAGATATTGAACCCCAAATTGCTACCGATGCTGTGCCATCAGTGAGTGAGTGTGTGTGAATGTGACATGTAGCGTAAAGCGCTTTGAGTGGTCAAAAGACTCGAAAGGCCCTATATAAGTGCAGCCCATTTACCATTTACCACATTGTTGTGAATCGAACGCCAACAGCAATATGACTTGAAGATACTATACCTCTACATCCTTCGTGTTTTTTACTTTGACCAAGTCAGCAATTTGAAGACTTAAATTTGGTCTTTGTATGTGGTGAAAAAACCCATTACTAGGTGGAAATGAGGTGAGATGTAGAAACGATAACAACCATATTGTGGTGACACCTCTCAATCCTCAACACTTCCTCCAACATACACCTCTTTTTAAGGCTTCATATCTTCTCAATCTGGCAATCACCACCACAAAAACACTTGCATTTACTGCAAGACTAAATTCTTGTGGAAATAAAAAAATCGATTTTCGAGCTGGAGGGAAAGGTTGGGAAAGCACCTAAGTTGAGGTAGAGGTCCAGTCTTCCTTGGTGTAGCTCCAGGGTGATGTAATCTCCTCTCTGTCCCTCTCCATGCAGTAAAACACCCTCTGCCTGATGGCTCCTGAACCGGAGAGAGATCACGTCCTTTACCGTTGACATGGACTTTTGGTTGAACCGATACAGCAAGGAGCTTCTGCCGTCAAAGTCTGCCACGTATGACTCTAAAGGAAAATCAGAATAACACTTAAATCAGTATTGCCCACTGTACTTTCAGTGAATTCTAAGAAACATTTTCTAGATGCTTGCTCTATTTTCAAAACGTTATTACTGCAGTGTTATGTTTTGGAGAATTGCTCTCACAATTTAGTCTAAAAAAACTTCAATATATCTATATATATATATATACACACATATATATATACACACATACACACACTTACATTAGACTGCCCTGTTTGTATATTTCATAGCTGGGTACAAGATTTTTCAGCAGTTTCACATTTGTACATTTCTATTTTCACATATTGACAAATCATTTTGGCATGTTACAGCCTAAATTTTGGATTCATTTGAAATTCAAATTAGGTGTAAAGATTGTATGATACTGCTACAACTACTAATCTAATGCTAGATGATTACTAGGAGGGCTGAGTGAAAACACTCTTTACTGTCACGAAATCTAATCTCAAATCTGCGTGATAAATCCGGCAGAAAATAAATGAAAGACAAATAAGAAGTAGTTGTGTGCAACTGTACTAATAAGAGAAACAAGGAGAAGAAAAACAGCAGGGCTATACATAGAAGGATTAAATTAAATGATATAGCGTTTCAGGAGAACTGTAGTTTCTTGTTGGATCTGATACCAAGTAATACCAGGGCCAGAACCACACATATCAATACTGATACTGATACTTCGTATTACTAAAAGCAGCATATGTACTATTATGTGGGGGTGAATGCATCATGAATCGGCATCCAAACATAGCCATTTCATCTTACATATAAAGCTGCAGTAGGTACCTTTTATAAAAATAACTTTTTGTCATATTTGCTGCACATTTTAATATTATATATATACTATCGTGATAGTAGTTTATAAGACAGATAATCTGTGAAAAAATCACCTTCCTCTGGCTCTTCCTAGTATCCCTACTGGTATTTGCAAGAATCCACTGGGCCTTAACAAAAACAACCAATCAGAACAAAGAAAGATAGGTGACTGTTGAGTCTCATTTGCTGATCGTAAATATATTGAGTTTAACGATCAACTATCTTCAAGTCGCCAACCCAAAGTGTCTTTATATCTCTCTCAGCTCTGATTGATTGCTTTTGTTTAGGCCCCGTGGATTCTTGCAAATACTAGTAGGGTATTAGGAAGAGCCAGAGGAAGGTGATTTTTTTCACAGATTATCTATCTCATGTACTACGGTCAGGATATAGTGAAAGTTTCAGAAAATATGACAAAGGGTTATTTTTACAAAAGTTACCTACTGATTGAACGTTTTTTTGTATAACTTTTCTTAAATAGGGTTGCCAAGAGTACATGCATGAAGAAGAGTGTTGTTGTGTAATCTAACATGAGATGGATCCAGATTTTTGGCATCGATTCCATTGAGGCTAGTATCAATACTCAAAACAAACAAAAGAAAAGCCCTAGTGACAATCCATTTGAATATAAGGGAGAACATAGCCACTGGAATAATTACATTCAATTTAATACAACATAATAATTCAGTATTAGCACTATCAAAACAATTAAGTATGTAATGAAGCTGCAGTCTTTCCACAGTGGAGTCGATACCAAGTAAGTACAGGTTAAGTCTTTATATAGTCCCTGCTGATGACTGTTTGAAAGTGGTCTGGCTTTGTGTTGGCACACTGCAGCAGTGCTGGGAGCCTGGCTGTTATAATATTTTGAGAAAGGAAAAGAGTACTGTAATCAGTGGCTTTGCTCCACTCATGGCACCAAAACCAGCCACCTCCCCTTCAAAATGAAGAGAATCTACATTACACTCCCCTCATTCATATACAATTTGAGATCAGTTAATAGTATGGGGGCACTCTCAGAGTCACCTCTTTACAATCCTGCTTTAGAAAGACACTCCATAGATTACAGTCTGTAATGCAGCAGAATGCGCTGCATGGCAATGAAACCTGCTTGTGTCTCTTGGCAGATCAGCGGTTTCTGTAATATTGTGATTCATATGATATTTTCTAATCGTTCATATATGTAGGCAGATACATGAATCCAAAAATATACTGACCAATGGAGAAACAAGGACTATATGAGGCAGCGTTAGTTTTATACAAGCTTATCCAACGTTACACACTTCACTACAGTGTGGCGATGGTTGGGCATCATAAAACTGATCACTGTGGGACACTCCGACTGTGTTTCACAGTGCATTAATTCACTGGCTCATCTAGTTAGTGCTGCTTCGCAATGCGTGGGAGAGGTGTGTCAGTGAATCCCCATTATATGTATTTTATTGAGGATTGCTCAGGATATAAACTCTACTCTGCGTCTGCAGCACTTCTTTTCATCAGGTACTGTGCAGCTGCAGCTGTCTAGTTTGTTATGGAAGTGTGGACTCTACTGTTAAGTATGGGATCATTTTAATGATGTCTTTTGTGATTAACTCTTATAGGACCGTTATTAATAATAATTGGATTCCATTATTTGGAGAATGAAAGGAACAAAATGAAATACGATTTCATTATCTTAAGATAATTCATGCAGCATTAAAACACCTACATTCATTGTTTTCTATATAAGCCCACACACTAGTCGTGTGTCACGGGATGATGATCCAGAGAACTAGCAATTTCCACACTTTGGCACATCCCAGCTACTGTACCATGACCACTTCTTCTGGCTGCAATACAGCCCAACCGACATAGTATGTTTGAGACCGATACTGATTTAAGAGGGGAAAAATTCATAATTGCTCATATAGTGGCTGATACAGTGAAGTTTTGAGCTATAATGAAAATCGGCAGAGGTTACAATGCAAAGCTACTCACAGGGCTGCTTTCTTAAACAAATAAAGTCCCCCTCCAGTCAAAAATCCATGTTTCTTCTTGTCCCTACAGTTTGATGTTTGAATGCTTTATGTGCAGAGTTTGACACTAGAAGGATGTTTTCACATTCATCTGCTGAAGGTGAAAAGTTTCTCTGTGCTCATTGAACATCTGATTTTAAGGGGCGGGGCCTACCAGCGAGGTTTGTGACAGTGAAAACTTTAGAAATGAACAACATTTGCATATTCATAGATTCTGCAATTTCTTATTAAGGGAGAAGGAGAAGTGACTAAATCCTCTGGACCTTTAATATATGTCTGGAGGGGATCTTTAACTGTAGTAATGTAACAGCAATCACTTTGCAGTGAAAGCACTGTATTACACATTTTCTGCATTTTGTACTGGAAAAAAACACATGGGCTGCTACCAATATAATACAGATATGTCTGCGATAGTCCAACATTGGTCAATAATATCAGCAGACCGATATATCACTTGGCTTTAGTCTGCAAGGCACAGCTGGTGTGTGCTTCACTACTTGAAGCTAGTCAGTGCATGTTGCACTTTATGAATAGGCCCACTTACTTAGCCCTTTGTCATTTTTTACTGTGTCCATTATGTGGGACACCTTTTTCTGTCGTGGTGGAGAACAATGACTCAGTGATGAAACTCACATTGATAGACTCTCTTTTTAAGTATAAAAGCACGTCATCCTGAGATAATGAGGCATTTATCTCAGGAAGACAGCATTTCACTGAGACAAGGAGATAATTAAGCAATGATGAGAAAGATAAACAAGCAAACTAAATTATGAATTTGGTTTTAATCGGGCCGCTTGCGTGTAAGCTTTAAAGGCATCAGTGTTAGTGTCAGCAATGTAGTGACCTAAGCTGCACAGGGCATGTTTTTACATTATGTGTCTCTACTCCAGGTCTTACAAATCATATACTGTAGGCTACTTTGTGGCAACATTTATTTAGAAAATCAGCTCCATTCAACTCTTTGTTGTATTTGTAGCAGCTACAGTGTAAACAAAGTTCTGAAATAACACAAGTTGCCTGCTAAACTAGCACAGACCTGTCAGCAGGAAAACTAAGAAGGGTTTGACTGTGTAAAACTTGTTTGTTTTGGAGTATTCAGTTTTTTTTATTTTGCTGCACAGCACATAAGTAAGTCTATAAAGCTACACACAGTGTTTTCACACTGCAAAATAATATTCCCTGCTACTTTGAGAAGATGATGTTAATTGCATTTTTCTTACAACTGAAACACCAAATGTTCCAATTTGTGGCTTAAGCCTTAGTGGATCTAATTTTCAAGTTTTATTCTGGAAGTGTTGAATGTGAGGAGATCACTGCATACATACAGCATGTTTCACACCCTGGCTGTCGTGTTTCTGATTCACCGTTGCTGTCTGGAGTATCAAACATTGTGTTAAAACCAAGCGAAGAGAAAATAGTCCTCATTACTCTCCAACGAGAGCGTAGCTGCAAAGCCCGACGTACAAATGACCAAATCCTTCTAGGCGGTGTAACTACAGAGGTTTGATGTGCAGACTGAGTGCTTTCACAGCACGATATCAACTCTGGGGTGTGTGATACTCACTGTAGGAGCAGCCGTACACCTCCACTCTTAGGCCCATCCAGCCACTGGGGTTCCAGTCGCGAGGGATGAAACGCAGGAAACGTGTCCTCACTGGGTGGGACAGCTTGTTCTGGACAACGGCCTCTGAATTCACGTTCCCGACAAATCTCTGCAGGACCACAGGGGGACAAAGACTGCAGTTATGATGGAAGCATAAAACTGATGCAAAGCAAGTGACCAATGAGAAAAAACAGACGACCTCAGATTGTAAGTGAGTAGTAAGATTTTCACCAGGGAGTAGAGAAGTCTGTTTTTTTAGCTGAATACTTGAAATGTAAGTGGAATAAAAATCTAAATTCTTCAATAGCAACAAAGTGCTGACAATGCAAACCCAAGGGCAACGTCTTCTTCCCATCCTTGAACATACTATTTGATGTAAAGTGATAAGAATCACTGTGCGGTGTAGAAATATGAGAATATCCGTTCAAGCAAGCCAATGTGAGGAAGAATCACCACTGAGGCAGCCAGGGGCAAAATAACGGCTCTCGTATTGTGTTTTCACCCCGCAGAGCTAAAAACAAAAGAGTATTGTGAGGTGTCATTCTTCTTTCTCTTTCCCACCCCTCTTCTGCTGTCAGCCTGCACCGGACAAAGCCAGAGGACATAAACAGAGAAACAGAGAGAGGGTGAGAGATGGAGACAGAAACAGAGACAAACAACCTCTCGTCTCAAATGACTGATTACCAGCCTCTTCATAACCGATTCTAGGCAGGTGACATATCAAATCAATAAGCACTCGTACTATGAAGAACCAGAAATATAGATCATTGACAGAGCTCCGGGGTTTTGTGAATACTTCAACTCAGTCAGACAAGGCCAATAACTCAGCTTTCTGCAACAACAGAAACACAAGGACCTGAAGCACAAATGACCAGCCGATGCTTTTAGAATGGTGCAAAGCAGAGGCATCGTTAAATGCACCAGGATGCTGCCTCTTGGTAGATAATCAAGGCGACTGTGCGGCTGTTAAGGCTGTTATTGTGATTTATGCTGCTGCTCTCCCCATTTTAAGGCATTTACTGAGCAGAGCCTTGTGGCTGAATCTTAACACACGTACAGGCCAGGCTTATTTACACATGCACGGTAATTCATGTCTGCACAGGAAGGATTAACAAATGGCACTGGGGCTTACGCATTTGGTCAAAGCAAATGTATTACTTGAGCACTGCAAACAGCTTTCAGAGCAAATAAAATAAGAGAAGCATGTTGGCCTTGTGCATATTCACAACACCTGAGTTTTTCTAAATGCTTCCAGCCAAAAAAAATCTAATGTCGCTAGTGTTTTATTGGGAATCAGGCTGATGAAAACATGCTGTGCTTGTCATACAGGGCTCTAGTGACCTTGTTATTTTCAGGCTTTGTGTAAGACACACTGTAGTAAAGTGTTTGATTGTTCTGCATTTAAAACCTATAATCTAAAGCCCCTGAAAATACAACATCAAATCAGTACTACATAACATGTTCATACTTTATATAACATACATGGCTAGGGAAGCAACGATCAAATTTCCGCCAAGGCAAATAATCCAGACTTCTATGAATCTGCACACCATCCGCTTTAATTACACCGAGTTTGTGCAGGTTTGGAAAACATGTAATTCCGGATTAATCCATAAGAATCACATCCCTGGTTGCTTATTTTTTACTAAAATAATGTTTGAGGTGCCAGTTGTGCAGACGGATGACAAATTAGAGGATAAACTTGAATAAATAAGTGGAAGTGGAGAAACATGACAAATGCAGATGTTTTCATACAGGACCTGAGGGGTCATCGAATGGTTGGTGAGAATGAAAATGAGGTGAATCCACTGAACACCTATGGCAAGATGGGGTTCTTCCTTGGCCCATGCTACACCCTTCATTTCATGAAAATTGGGCCAGTATTTTTTTCCGTATTCCTGCTGACAGACAGACAAATTGCACCAGAAACATACCTCCATGGCAGAGGTACTTATTTATTGGTCAAAAACTTGGCTGATGTTCTTCATTAGGACTGTGTGGGCGTGGTTTGATCACATTTACAATGTTGCTAAAGGGACTGCATTAGCTAATAGCAAATGTGACATAAATCATGTCTTATTTTGAGATTTTGTTTTTTGTGCATCTTTGACCTAAAAAAACAAACAAACAAAAAACAAAGAACAGGACATCACATTTTTACAACACTGCCCCACCCACTTTAAACCAGGGCGAAAAGCAACAAGAAGTAATAAGTAGTAAGTTAGTAAGAACAGAAATACAAACATTTCTCAGGTGAAATGTGTGTTCATGCAGGAGCATCTTGCTCATAGTAAGAAACTGATTGATAAGCTCTATTCTTTTGTTTGAATAGGATCAGAATCAAGGTATATGTTCAGTGTATGGTACACTGTATTTTTGTTATACAGCCTGTGAAACTCTGCTTCTTATTTCTGTTGTAATTATTGACTGTCTTTCCACTCGATTCCCAGCTGAACGTCTGGAAAATCTAATGAACCAAATGAACTCTGACTGAGGCTGTGGTGCAATCATTCTAACTATCCATTAGCTAACAAAACTCAGACAAGTCAGCAGGCGTCATTAGTATTCAAGAGCAATACCACTACAAGAACACCACTGAGGCTTTTCTCAGCAATGACGTTTGTTTTTGTTTCCTCTTTGGAAAATCTTGTGACAGAACGTCCTGTGTGTTCCAGCTGGGAGATGAGGTAAAGTCTCTGAATAGAGGCCTGAGGGTATGGAAGATGTTTCCGGAGGTCCAGAGGACCGAGCTTGGTCCTTATCCACATAAACAGCCCTAACCCCACAGTGACTTCGTTATTTCTATTTATGTTTCTGTCACTGTGTAAGAGTCTCCCTCCTCATTCATTAAGACTCTTTACTCTTCCTCTCCAGTGATGAGCTCCCCTGAGTCAGTTTTCCTTTCTGCTGCCTACAGCGCAGGCACATACGTTTATTTTAATCAGTTCACTGGGGGATAAATCCTGCTGCTGGCGATGGAGTATGAAGTACGATACAGTATGTCCAAAAAGGTCATTGGCCAGTTAAACAGCCTAAGGGAACACACAGCAAAGAGAAAGTTACAAGTACATGACCTTGCCATGAGTGAAAATACTATAGCAATCCCCGACTGCCAGTCAATCCTGCAGGAGTCCCCTGACCATTATCAACAAGGCTTTAGCAGTTTCTCCAATGTCTTATCTAGCAGAGGGTCTTAGATATTTAAGTCTACTACATATATTGAGCTAAATTTTGGGTTAAATGAAGGTATTTTGGATATAGTTATATATAGTTTTTTGTTTAGTGTAAAACAAGAGTGTACAGCAGCGCTAACAGCCCTGGGAGGCTGTACTTAGGCACAGTGATGCTTTGAGCTAAATGTTAACATCAGCATGGCAACTGTCACAAGCGCTGTCCATGGTGCTGATTCTGGAGCTGTCCTGGGTATTGCACTAGTGAGCTCAATCCTGCTAGCAGAAAGTAATAGCTTACAGTCTGTCTGATCAGCCTTATCATATGCCTATTAATTTTAAAACATGTAGTAGTTATGTAGTTATGTTCAGCGGCAGGTTAAGAGGGGTGGCCAGGCAGTTTGGTGTCAAATTAAACTCATTCATTTAGATTAATGTCTGGTAGATTTGTTTTGTTTTTGTGTTGACTTCAGCAAAGAAATATAGAAATGCAGAAATTACATTTGTGGTGTGTTTTCTGCACTTGGGTCCTGTTAAGCATCATTACAAGCAACATGTTCACAGTGGCAAGATTAAAATGCTGATGTACACGCAAAGTCACCAGCACCAGTTTGAATGAAAGATATGCTAAGAAGTGTACAATTTTCTACTTTTCTCTTTACTTTCTGTGTAACGTTACTTTTACAATGATGTTTTGTAAATGGGGAAGAAGCTGTGCAGTTATCAGCTGCTCCAACAGTAGTGGCAAACTTCAACTTTGGAAAAGAAACTGAACGTGAAACACACAAGCCTTTACCTCACAAAGAGTACACTTTACATAGATTGCTTTCGCGTGCAGAGGACCAAGATGTTCGCATGCCAGGACATTAATTAATCTAATCTTGACGTGCTAGATGGCGGACCACACAAACTGATTGCTGGATTTGAGTATAGCAGGTAACATTTGCAGGTTAGCTGACAGGCCACCACACCAAAGTTATTAGAATTCATTATCTGATGATCTTGATTATATCTACATGTCAACCACCTTAGATATTTCACCCAAAACCACAAATGTGAACCTAATGGGGGTGCTAAATGAAACCAACTGACCAACAAACAGAGAGACGGCTGTAGAAAAAATAAAACTAGGAGCAGTAAAATTACACATCAGCACTCAAGCAAACACATTTAATCCTTGTTAGATTCCCATCTACCTGAACACCTAACAAGCATAAAAATCAGTGTTTCAATCTCCCCCTTAAGGAGTAGTTTCATTCACAGCTGAAGTAAAACAGGGATTTTCAAATAAGGCTTCTCGAGGATAATGAAGGCAATCGGGACCAGAGCTAGAATTCATTCCTTCCACAGACATAATTCATTTTAATTAGATTCTAATTATCAGCTTGTAGAAGAGTGTCTTCCTGTTGTTTCACATGTTCCTCTTACCAAACAACAAGCTTTGCAGAGAATCAGTACAGCATTTAGAGACAAAATCAAACCAAAGGTGAAACTGTGTAAACCTTTTGTTGTTTGCACAGGAAGAATAGGTAATATGTGTTTATGTTTCACTAAATGTCAAGGCGTAGTTGCTGATTAAAACACCCTTGCCTCACCCTCCCACTCCAAGCCTGTAGGAAAAACTACTGTAGGGTTGGGCAATGTGTTAACATTTTCCAACTGTCCAATAACCAGCAATAGCCAATATATTCACACATGCATGTGCCTGCCCAAGCCGCAACAAAACAAAATAAAACTCCTCATTACAACTAATCACTTTATTAGTTTTTCCAATGTTCCCACAATCACCGACTCTGGTGTCTAAACGTCTAAGCTCGAAAATATTCTGGCTCTGCACACTGTCGCTGTCCCTCTGACCTCCCTCCCCTGGCCTGTCCCAGCCTGTCCCTGCCATGTCCACATTTTCCCTGGAGTAACAGTCCAGCAGCTCTCATTCTTCAAAGGCAGACCATTAAATTAAGAAAATAGAATAACATAATTGCACCGTAAAATCATCCAAAGAAAAAAACAACCTGTGATAGACACAAACAGATAGCAGATAGCCAATTTAGTAATCCAATCACCCAACAGTATGATGGTTGCAAAACACTGAAGGCCCTATGTAGAGCCAGTGTTTGATTTGTCTATTCTGGGCAGTTCAACATGGCAGACTCAACACAGCACATTCTAAGGTGATAAAAACACAACAATTATTATTTTGAGGTAATAATACACTCATGAAATACACCTATGGATATTAATTTCCATTTCTGCCAATAGATCTTCCAAAATATTACACACTAGACCTTTAATACCCACTGGTGGAGTTTAAGGATGAAGATGCCAACAGTATGATGTAGAGCAAGATATGTCCACAGATACTGTCCAGGTTGCCATATAATTTGGTATGGCCCTCAGAGGATGTCTGCAATTGATTTTGGTGACTCCTTGACTTTTTCTCTAGTCATCATCAGGGAGAAATCCTCTCTAACAGTATTTGTTTGTTCCATACCATTTAGTCTTGCCAGAATCGCAGAAGGATTATCGATCTTTAGCCCAGTTTCTTATAGAGCTAATTTTTCCATGGAGCTAATTTGGCTCGGCATTAGCTCAGAGCGGCTGAGAGCTAGCAGCCATATCAGCAGCTGCTGCTCTCTCATTAGTCCCTCTGAGTTCAGTGTCTGGCAGTGAGCCTTTACCTTTGAGCTTCACTTGTTAAAATGCCAGACGGATGTGAGTTACTATCAGCAAGGTCTTGGTGAAAGCGTTAGTCAGTCAGCTTGGGTGTGAGTTTCATTAGAGATTGCAGACTAATTGGCTGCCACTCATCCTGCAATATCTGTAATAGAACAGAACACCAAAGAAAAGTGTGGAGATGTGGGGCTAAAATTGTCTGTGTGAGTGTGTATTTGAAACACAAATATAAAGCTTGCCAGGTTTCAGAGGATGATGCCTGTTTTGCCTGGTATGACACGGCACTGTATGCCGTAGCAGAGTTCATATGAGTTTTAATATTTGAAATATAATAACGTACTCTCTTTTCTCTCTCTTGTGAGTCACTTACAAAGGGTGATAGCTGCAGGTCATTTTGGTAATATCTATACATAATGTCTCATCTTCCCACTGCACAGCAGCTTTATTTCCCTTTCCAGACATAATGATATGAGGACTGAGAGTGTGTGGAAGAGGCTTTGAGCTGTTTATCATGATATTTCAACAAGTCAGTCACTGGATACATCAGCTGCCTGCCCTGTACTCCGGTTAGAAAGCTGTTTTGTTTAGAAAGACTTTGTGCCTCAAGGATGTTGCTGAAAGCTCTGATTTAATTTAATTAATTTTAATTTTAATTTAATTTCCCCACGGGGATTATTAAAGTATTTCTGATTCTGATTCTGATTAAGGCTGAGGGCATCATTTTTAAGGAAGCATCTTTAACTGCAGCATGTTTACGCACAAATGTTGTTTTTTGTGTGTGTCTCATTTGTGGAAACTACTTAGGAAAAGAATAGAGTAGTAATCAATCGGGAAATTGCTCCGATACTCGTCCGAAGATGCTGGGATCGGTCCCCCATCGGCGAGGTACTGTAGTTCGCAGGCCACCGATTCATACCACCTGACGGGTGATTTATTTCAAATTGGAGTAATTCTATTTTACTGGTGTAGCTCGCCGTTAGAGCTCTGCGTACAGCTTCTTCTTTGGCCGCCTCGTTCTAACACAGTGGGCGCCTGTGGCTGCAAACCGCAGCCTGCTGTTCTTAGAGGACGAGGAGAATTGATCACGTGTGTCAGAGCCGGTTGACGCGAGCTTGGAGCTAAGCTAATAGCCGACGGGTGGTATTCATGTCAGCGCGGTGTGCAACGTATTCACACTGGGAATGCTCGCCACCAGGTAAGAGCTTGCGACAACGTGAACGCTGTGCAAAGATTAACAATCTCTAAGGGGCACGAGTGTTGCTAATGTTTAACACAAGCAGACGTGTTAATGAAAGATGTTTATTTAAAAGATAAGATTTTAAAAATAATGAATTGGAATTTGCTGTATTTGAGACACTTATGTTTTACAAAGCGGTTTAACCTGCCGCAGGCTGCCACATATGATAATCATGATCGGTCATGCAGCGTATAGTATGATATTTTTTTTTTATAAAATATGGCTAGTCGGATCGGTACCTCGGTAGGTCGGGCCTGATACCCACAAGCACAGGGAGTATGGAAATGGTATCGGGGAGGGAAAAATGGTATCGGAACATCTGCTAAAAGAATATAAGAATTGATGTGTTTTTTGTACCTCAAATAAGCTGTTTTCATGGTGGGCAGAGGAGCGGGGTCCGGCTTCTACAGAGTGCCACTACTATTGAAACTGCCATGGTTTCGCTAGCCCGAGAATGGACAATCACCGTCGGTTCGTAGATAGTGCGGTTTTGGTAGTTTCCTACACACCTTTGCAACTGGGAGGCAGTGGGCGTGAGTGGAGGGTGTTGCAATCAGGCCCAGGGGCGCTAGTCGTACGCCCTGCTACGAATGCCTAAAAGCGTACACACTGGACCTTTAATGTCATGCAAGGTTGGAGCACCTTGGTAGCCGAGTAGTTACAGCACATGCCACATGGCAAATGTCCTTTGTTATGTCACACGCCTCTCTCTCCCCTTGTCCTCTCTGCCTCTTCATCTGTCACTATCAAATATACCTAAAAATATGCAAAAATACCTCAAAAGTAACCTTGCCTTGACATGCAAGGATTATACCCAGTTTTATAGACATGCAGGAATGTTATTCTTAATCTTACATTGTGGTAGTACAATTCACAATATTGAAGGGCTATCATGTTGTCCTAAAACAAATGATAGATTCATATAAGTATATGTACAGTTTAACTATACATACATACATACATATATTTTGTGGTTTAATTGTATAGTTCTCAGCTAGTAAGGAGGGCCCCCAAAGAGAAAATCTTGCCAAGGCCTCATGCTGTTTAGAGCCGGGTCTGAACATATAACACATAAAGGAAATGTCTTAGTTGACTTTGCTCTATAAATATTTTATATACTTTGTGGAGAACTGTATTTTCTGCCACTAATTAAAAATGTATTTATGTTACTTGTTACACAAACAAATTAATCTCTGGTTAGATATCTGAAACAACAACAAATTATGCAGTTTTGCCAGATGATACATGAAATCTTCAACATTCAGAGGTAGCAGCAGATTCAGCTTCTGCGCAAGGCCCCCACACCCATCAGGGCCCCGAAATTGACAATTTACACATAAAGCCTGTGCTCATAATGCTCATAAATATTCAACTTATTGTTATATTTCAACCCTCTATTATGAATAAGGAAATATTGCTTGAATTATTCATAGCAATGCATTTCTTTAAGCGATTCCTATTGAAGTTGATTGTTGTTCTTCACATTTGCACATTCTAAAGTTAACTAATTGTTTTTGGGAGTAAAGACATCAAATCTACCCAGGGTGTGGTACTTTTTCACAGAAAAAAAAAGGCGTAAACTGTAGTTTTTAGTAAAGATTACTTAAACACAGAAGTAAATAGTGTATTTGTTGGGGACTCGTCATTGGATTAATACCATAGACTGTATAAATAAAAATGGTAGTAGTATCTACGACATCACCCATAGGTTTCTGAGGAACTGTCATGTAGCTCGTCATCTTGGCAGTCTTGACTTCGCCAGCTCCAATAATGGGCAAATCGTGGAGCATAGATGGAGCTAAAGCAGGCTGAATGAAGCCTGTTTACTGAAACTAGCCACCTGTGATGGCACCCACCTTTCCCTCAAAGCGGCAATGCCCTTAATTATGCTTGACTTAAAGTCGTTATATAATTTAAACATGTAAACATGTTTATTTCTGCTATAGAGTTGGGCATTTTGATATTGGGCCTTATGAAAATTAACTCACTTCTGTAGCCAGCCTCAAGTGGCTGTTCAAGGAACTGCAGTTTTTGTTAAATCAGCGTTGGCTTCATTTGCGGAGGCTACGGAGGCTGGAGGCTGCCGCTTGTTTAATACACATTTAGTCTTAGTGACAGTAGTATTAGTGTATGAAATATTTACATTCAGTCTTGGCTTCAAAAGAGTTAGACCGTCTCCTTCAACATCATGATCTTTTATGTAATCTTTAATTACATTTCAGTATATAATGCCTTTTTAAAAAGATGGAGGATGGGGTAAGGTAAATAATTAAATACACGACACTAGACATAATGTTCACCCACGTTTCTCTGCTATTCTAATTTCAACACTAGGAAAAAAAGTCCACTTTGCAGCAGTGGGAAACTACACACTCTGCTAATTGGACTGCCAAGCAGAAAAAGTCCCAGAAAAACAAATTAACATCTCAGAGCAGCCCCGTGACAGAACTGGGGCAAACACAATAAAGAATTAATGGCATGTGCCAACATAAGGCTATTTTCTTAGACCCTGAGTCCTTGTAAAGGCCAACATAACAAGTTGTGACAATACATGGAGGACAAAAAAAGTCTAATGATTGCGTTGACACCTTGAAACGTGTCAGAAAAAGTGAGAGCATGTTATCACACCCTGACCTGTAACGTCACCAAGAGGTTGATCCACAGAAAACATCATTAAACAGAGGTATCTCATGTGACAGTGAGGCAAAATGTGAATGTTAATGATCTGTCTGACCATAACAATCCTGCAAAAAAGTTGCATGTACTGAATATGAATACAATAGTGTCACATATGTGCCACTTTATTGAATCAAGAAATCAAATCAATGAATCCAAAGTTGCACAGAAAGCTGATTAAATGCTGCTCACCCCTACACCGTCCTCATGCCTGTACTGTTTCCAGGCCCGGCCTGTGTCACTGTAGAGAAGCAAGTAACTGCTGACCCAGTCCCAGCTGTCATACCGACCCTGCGTGGCCACAGCCGTCACCTCCATCTGCTCTCTGAGGTCCACCTGGAGCCAGGGCTCTTGGTCGGTCACCATGGGAGACCAGCCTCCCGCCCCTGAAGGAGGGCAGAGAGATACAGGCAGAAGGGATCCATTAAACATCGATATTGTTGATTAACAGTGGATTGTTGTGGTTGGCGCTCAGTCGCCACTGAGCTCGATAAGTACACAGAGTGTGTTTGTATATAAAAGGCTTCAAGGTGAAGTTACAGTCCAGCTGCCACAGGGAAGATCCTTAGTTTTTTGGAAAATAGCTGATTCATTTTGAAATGTGTACAGCCTGCCTTTTAAACTTATACTGCCACTGTAGCTCAACAAGCTAGCCTCTGATCCACAATGTATTCCACAGTGTGTCTGTCATTCTGGAAAACTGAAACATTAAACTGTTTTTGTTCTGTTCATATATAAACTACCTACTAATGCTCGTTCTGTTTCTACTGCCTAAAAATAATTATATCATTAGCATTGACCAACTGTAGCTCTAATTAGGTTCCGATGGCATATATGACGTATGTCCAAAGCTCATGGGGGCTGTAGTTGTTGAATGCTATTTACTCAACAGCAGCTCCCTTCTACCCAAGAGGCTGTGGAGAGACTGAGACTAAGGATAATGACAAGACTGTGTCTCAGTACATTCAGGATCAAATTACAGTATTCTGTCTATTTCAAATGTCCAATCAGTAACAAGAAAGGGGGAACAAAGTGCAACTATTTAAATTGGCATCTGTAACCACTCCATTTGCTTATGGCCAGATGACTCTTGTTCTGGGATGGGTTCAAGAGGGGCCAGTGCACTTGTGACAACAACCCTGGACCTCCTTATGGCCCTGCTACAAGCAATGAATTTTCTCTCTTCATTCTGTGGACGCCAGGACTTCCTTATTAGCCAGGACTTCCTTATTAGCCAGGACTCATTTTAATAAAAATATTAACGATCCCTTCCAGACATGTATTAAGACATATATACAAATAGTCAACTTGGAACAATAATTTGTGTCTGATATGTTTTTTCCACAAAAAAGAATAATTTCCACAAAATTCCAGAATTTATGATATGCAAATGTTGTTAATTTCTAAATTGTCTGAAGCATGTAGAAATATTAAATCCATGCAAGAACATGCTCTCTCATACTCACCATCTCTTCTGTTGAGCTTGGCATTGTAGGCAGCATAACTGACCGAGGACTGAGAGGAGCTCTGAAAGGATGAATAGGGCAAGGTGGCTACCAGAGGACCATTGCAATTATCTATAAAAGAAAACAAAAACAATTGACAATTAAAAACACATTGACATTATTGCTTATAGTTCATATAATGTATTTCACATAAAAATCTGACTGTTTGAAGAATGGTTTTGAATGAATTTCACTGCTTGCCACACTGGGATTTATTCAGCTGACAGAAATAATAGAAAATGAATCCTTGAGCAGTTGAACATGTTGGTTCAAAGAGCATCTTCACCTGTCAGTGGTAGAGTTTTAAAGCAAGCAACTGGGAAAAATAACAAGGCTGCCTCACTTATCCAGTTCTCGGATACCTCAAACAGTCTATTAACCCATGCGGTGACCCCTGAAAATAGCACAGAAAAACGCCAGGGCTCCTTTTGTGTGCATGTGTGTGTTCTTTTTAATCCCACTGTGTGAGATTACATCACGTCCAACAGGCAGGAACAGATTAAGAGTCCAGTTATCTAAACCTGTCAGTCTCATCTTCCTCTGATCCGCCCGGCCCGTCCGCCACAATAAGAGCAGCGAGTCGCACAACAGCCTCTCTGCCGTCTCACTTGAGTGCAGAGCTGCATTAAGGCCTGTATATGGGAACGTAATGAAAACTGGCACCGGCCTGATTACAATTATCCCTGCACTCTCTCCATCAGTGTGCAGTTCACTCCTCTGAGTGCAAGAGGCTTTTTGTTTTTGGATGCCATTCTCTACCTCGAGTTGAGATGGATTCTGAGCACATCTGGAGTGGCCATCTGGTACACAAGAGCACAGCAGAACTGACAGCATGATCTCGTTCTCCTTTTGAGCGTCCCACCGAATTTTCGACTGACCTGATTTGACTGCTCTCAGATCGCTTGCCAAGAGATTTCTCTAATCCTGATTTCAAGTGTGACTAAAGTGGATCAAGCTGTTTTGTCCAAGACTCAAATTATGGCTGAGCTGCAATGCAGTTGCAGATGTTCATCGGGGAAATGAGAACAGTGGCGTGCCATCTCCACACACCACTACTGGAACTGGGGTTATTATGCAAGCACAGCACTCTTAATCTGTTAAAAGTCTTCCAGATCCAACTTTTGATTCCTGAAGGATAACTCTTCACTGTTCCTATCCCCTCTTCCATCTGCATCCATCCAACCTTTCTTGCATGATACATCCCTGGTTGAAGAGCTGACAAAACCTCACTGATGTGAGGTTACCCCTTTAAAAAATACTTTGCTCCTTCATTCAATCCAACCTTTGCATGACCATATACTTGACATCTTAAAAAAGATTAAACAAACCAACCACATGTTCTCAGATTGACTCGTGATGTGAGTGCAGAGAAGGTTTCTCCATGTGAAAAATGTACGTCTTATACCCCCAGTTGTTGTTTACAGATTTGGTCTTGAGCCAAATGCCTGGCTGTCAGTCACAAGGACTTATGGATGTAGGAAGATTTGTCTGCGGAGCTGCTCTGCGGTCTGTGGGATAACTGAAAATCCTCAGAAGCTGACTCACGATCTCCATGCGAGGCTCATGGGCTTGGATCTTATAGCCAAATTAACCCAGACGTGCAAACGCATGGACATAAACACATGCACATAAACACATGCACATAACTGCTAGCTGAGAAGGAATTTAATCTCTCTTGGAATCATAAATACATCAACAGCTATACAGCAAGAGCTTTCGGCTTCAGTCACGGAAGTGCTAGGATAACAAACAGAGGCTGCCACAGAAGTGTTCCTGTTGACACTGAGTGTGTTTAAATTCACTCTAGTATTCTGGATATGATTGGGTTTTTGGAGTATGCTGGTTACGTTTTGGTTTTGAGAAACCTGGATATGCTACAGTATGAGTACTCTGATAGAAACAAGCATACTGTGGCATGTAAACAATTAATCCTGGTTATCTTAACATTCTCTGTTGCTATAGAACAAGGCAGAGATGAAAGCATAACATACCTACCTCCAAGGAGAGGTAACTTAACGTAACTTAACCAAAAACTTTTATGTATAATTTAAATCTCTATATGTGATATGAGACATGGTTCTTGGCATTTTGTTTGAGGCAATTTAATTGGCTTTAGCTCCTGTCACTGCTAAAGGCCTCTTGGTTGTTTTTCACTCACCCTACTGGTGGACCATGATTATCTAATTACCATAATTTGTGTAACTAAGGTGTGGCCTATCACACTAAGGTGTGGCTTGAACCTGAAGAAGGCCAGAGGGCTGAAACATCTTCATCTGAATAAAAAAGAAATGGTTATGGAGTGTGCGTCACTCTTGGGAAACCAAGACCCACCTGTAACAGACGATCAGAAACCTGGAGACTGTTGTTATTATGCATACAGGAATATAAATAACCAGGTTTTTCATGGTCCATGTAATACCTTATCTTGAATAACAAGAACAAAAACAGGATAAGACTAAAACCAGGATACTGATGCTCATGTAAACGCATTCACCGCAGCACACTAGAGGTTATCACTGATTGTGTTTGCGATAAAAATAATAGATGAAAAAGAGTGGTGCCTGCACATTCACTCCAAACTGTAGTTCTGACTGACATCAAAAGTTGTCCTTTCAAATACATTTGTGGTTTGGAGTGTGTAGGTTCATTTAAGTATGAGGCAGGTATGAGGTGAGACAGGAGTCTATGGTTTTCCTACCAAAATCAACAATGCTAAGGCTTATTGGTTCCTACTAATAATACAAATCTTCAATAAAAGGCTCACATACATACAGTTTTATTTCTAAAAAGGTTAAGTAAAGGTCCAGTGCATAACATTCAGGAAGATCCATTTGCAGAAATGGAATATAATATTCATGGGTATGTTTTCATTCATGTATAATCACCTGAAAGTGTGTTTTTGTTAGAATGACCAGTTTTTATCCACAGAGGGAGCGAGTCCTCTCCTACGGAGTCTGCCATGTTTCTAGTTGCCCAGAAAGAACAAACCAAACACTGGCTCTAGATTGGGCCTTTGTGTTTTTCGTTTCACAGCCAGTTTCTCCCACACGTTTGGTTGAAAAGAGGGGTTTGACTTCAGGACAACAATTATTAGTAGGATCAATCATTTGTTGGTTTTAGTCTTTGTATGAGATTTCTTGACGATATGAGAAATATAGAATATTGCCAGCATTATCATTTGATGCTCTTTTTCAATATCCTGGCACCATTTACTACCTTTCTTACCTTTAAAAGATTTCCTCTTCTAAACCGTACAGACACGTTTAGATTCAGAGTGTGCTCTCATTCTGCTCTTTGGCCTGCTAGATGTTCATCACTTATCAAAATCAAAATCTGCGTCACATGGAATCAAAATATCTAATTAACTTTCATAGAAATGATCTTTTGAATTCAAGGAACGACATCAGGCGCCTAAGCAGTGAAAGAAAGGTTTCACTTCCAGTCGTGATAATAACGTGAGATCTTTGAAGCTACCCACGCAGCCTCTTCATTGTCAGCAATACATTAGAATCAGTGTTTGACTGTGGCATTGCCTCAGCCATACTGAACAGATAAGCCTTTTTCCACTGCTCCCCTCTGCTCATCAGCAAGCCTGTCTTAATATGAGAGCACAACAGATGCTGCTCCACAAAGAAATCAAACTCAATTATCACAACAAAGTGCCATTTGTAGCACGCATGGGATGGATATTTTAAGCTCCAGTTGCAGATGCATAATCGCACCTGAAGACGACCGCACGCCCCAAATCAAATAAACATGGCTCACCAGATATGAGGAAGCCTGAGTTTCCTCTTGGATATCAAGTCTCAGGAAATGTACAAACAGTTGGATATGAAAAAATGCCAAGGGGATTTCCTAAAAATAGAACATGGAACAGAGATAGGGTATAGAGCAGAGCAGGCTTCTCAATCTGACCTGATCCTCCTGTCTGGGTGGATCAAACCCATGTGATTAAAGTTACAGCTGCAAAATGTGAGTGCAACTCACATACATACATAGACAAAAAGTGGCAATTTTCGTGAAATAAAAATGAAATTAATTATTGTGCAAAGTGCAGTCAAGTCTTAGAGAATGTAACTGATTAAATAAATGGATCAAGCCCTCCATTAGTAATATAAAGATACATCGCAAGACAGTTAAATTGTGATACAAATATGTGAAGAGTCAAATCGGTGAATGAAAAATTAATAATGATATCAATGGTGGTATCAAGGTGCAAAGACACCAGTTCCACTTTTTATGAAGACAAGGAAATAGGCATTGTTCTGCGCAGTTAATACCATACCTGAGAAACGTAAAATGATTCTAAAATAGGATCAAGAAAATATAAGAGAAGATGTATATATTTTTTGTCTTCAACCTTATTTTGCGAAAGAAACTATAAGAAAATCGTATTGTGAACCCAGTATTGGGAATCATATCAAATCATTACACAGTTGGTGCAGTTTGCGTTTCACAATTTTTCTTGAACAAATCATCTTTTTTTTATTTCCATTGACAGATGAATCATTCATTCATTTAATCATTAATACATGGTGGTTCAACGAGAGCAATTCAGCTTGTTCATCATGGTCATGGACGATAAAAGAAGAAATAAAGGAAAGGATAAACTTGCAAAAAAGGTCGAAAAAACTAAAATTACAGCAAACCAGCTTTAAACAAAATCTGAAACACAGCAATATGTGATAAATCAATAATCTACAAAATGTCAAATCCTATTACAAAGCCCCACAGCCTATGTTTTCAAATAGCTCAATTTACCTGACATACAGTCGAAAAAAATCTTAAATTACAAAGAAATGAAAGAGTGTTTGTATATTCGCTGGATAAATAAGTCATTCATTTATGAATGTTCTGTGAGTGATTATTGTGACCAATTTGTCAGCAACACACAGCAAAGTCTACAGGCTAGAAAGAAATTACTAAAAGCATGAAATGTGTTACTTGGCTATTGGTTTCAACCATTACTTCACTGGTATTGATCAACACTGATTATTTTCTGCTATTGGGCAATAAAACACTTAAAACCACATGCATAGCACCTTCGTATAGCAGTGATAAACCCCACACCA